TCAGCTAACAGCAAAACTGTTAGCGTTTCTAACACCATGGTTAAATTAAGGTGTGCGGTGATATAACCGTCTGATGACAGACTGTCTCATTTAAGATAACGCCGGTACGTCACTCGAAGGATGGTCCCCAGGCAGCGGTGGTCAAATAATTCCAATCTTCCCTCACTTTCAACGCGCACGGCCCGACGTTCAAATCCATAAAGGACGACTGATTGGACGGATGCGCGAGAGACACGGATCTTCCTGGCGATGGAGATGTCGCGTCGGATCCATAGACGCTTCTGGAGAATTGGGAAAACCTGGGAAGCCATATCGATTTGAGAGAAAATGTCATCCTTGCTCTGTCCATTCGGTAGCAGCCTAGCCATAAGGTGTCTAAAGCTATCTATTTCTTCCACCCAACAGTCATTAATACCCAGGCGCGCTCTCTCGTGGTCAGCGAAGCAGCTCGAGAATGATTTGATCTTCCCAGTATTTATGGACAAACCGACCAAAGGAACGATCTCATTCACCCGTGATACTACCAAAGCTTGTAGCTAGAATCAATTAACGGTAAATGTGAAGGGGATAATGGATCGGACGCCGACTCTGTGGCGAGGGATGCGACGATCATATTTCATTCAAGAACGAACATTACACGCCTGTGTGAAACAGTCTATGGGTGCAAAAATATAAAGAGTCAGAGGAAAGGAGGGATGCCGATTCTGGGTATTCCAACTTCACAGCTTACCAGCGCATTCCTCACATACGTATATTAAAGTTTGGGCAAATAAATCTGCCAGAACGGGCTAATAATTGTGAATCAGAGGGCTGCCAACCAGCGAGATAACCCAAACTCTTTCAAGACTGATAGTACGGCTGTAATGACTACTTAATGTAAACAGAATGATCTTAACATCGACGTGAGATGAAAGCCATCTTTACTTTAGTCTGGGACTTGTAGTGGGAACTAAATCATGTGTGTGATTAGCGCAGACGGGCTTTCCAGATTTGTGAGCTACTACGGCCGCGCTCACATCACGTTGTCCTGGCATTTTTCCCATAGGAACATTGTGGGGGAAGTGGGAGCGCCGAAGATGCTGCGCAAGTCCTCACTCCATGTGAAAAACTCTGGACGTCATTGTTCGCGACTGCCTAATTATCGATTATTATTGCGAATGGTGCGAGTTTAATTTGCTAAGCTCTTCCTAAACTTGCTCAAAATTGTCCTAAAGGCTGACAAAACATCGATATGGGCTGGCAAAAGGGCTGATACGTCTGCATAGGAAGGCTAACCAGG